CGTGTAAACTTCTCATTTCTTAGCAAAAAGTGGGAAAATTGTTTGCCTGCAGGATAATAAAAGGGCAGATTGGTGGTAGCTTTTCCTGCATTTATTCTCCATGGTGACAACTCAAAGACAACAACTTAGATACTGCAGGCATGGCAAATGTATAATGCTTGGTAATTGGGGATGAGGATGTGTCTCAAGAAGCTATAAAACTATTACATTTTCATTATAGAGTATTGTTATGTCCTTCTTCCCCTCACACTGAAAATAAGTTCATTACAGAGGAGAAGGAAAATATAAGTAAAATAATGACAGCCAAGTACAGCACAGAAAGCCACTCACTGTGTGATGGCTGGGAAATGGCTGTGGCAGGCAGCAACAGCAGCAGGGAGAAAGCCCAGCTTGTTGGTAAACAGCAAGAGAACTGTACCTCTGAGCTGGGGCTCAAGTTTCCTTGGACTGAATTTTGCTTTTAAACTGAGCCTGTCGACTTTTAGTCCACACTTCTAACTCACACGTAACTGGGAGCATCTTGGAACTCCGCTTGCCTTCTGACTCATTACCTGCTGCTTCTCTCTGCCACTGCTCTCACCAAGGACAGTGAAACCTGAGTGCATTTGCTCCTGCTGTTTGCACTTCAGAGCTCTGACTGCAGCTGCCCTGGGGCTGAAAACAATTCTTACTCTTCTTGAAATTATGTTCAGCTTTAATTTTTAAAATGTTTCCGGTAACATCCCTGCTTGGGCTTGAGAGAATATCTGGAGGGCTGGGGGTTTTGTTGTGGGTGTTCTGTAATTTTTGCTTTTATAGGGGGTAAAAATGTCTTTTTACAAAATGCCACTCATTCTACATCTGAACTGATCCGGAGCCCAAGGTACAACTCTGAAGGTTAACTGGAAACAGCCAAAGGAAAGCAGAGGGGTCACAGAGGCACTACAAGCACGACAAAAAATGACAGGCAAAAGGGAGGGGAGGTGATGGGCTCCCTGGCAAAGGCCCCCCTGCAGGCAGGGGGAAATGTCAAAAAGCAATTATAAAGGTCACAAGAGAATTCATATGGGAATCGTGGCAAGTTCCTTCCTTTAGTATTAGCCAAGTTTATTCTTCAGATTTTTTCTGCTTCTAATACTGGTAATCCAGCTGGCATTTCTGAGATCATATCAGAATGGTACCTGTTCTGTCACATCCCTTTTCTGATCTTCCAGGAAATGGGAAAGGGACTTTAAGAGCCCCAGGTGATGATGAAGGTGGTTTCAGCATCACAACTGTTGTAGAAAAGCACGTACAGCCAGCGGAGCCCAATGGAGATGCTGCACCACAGGGATTTCGGGAATCATAGGGTCAAATCTGCAGCACCTGGTTTATGCCAAGGGTATCCTTGCTCCTGGACCCAGACAAAAAATGATCTAAAGCCCCTTTAGCTTTTATTTCCTTGTGTCCTAAAGCTTGTACTTAGTGACAAAGAACAGATTCTCACCCACATTTTTGTGTGAAAGCTCCCTGGAGAAAAAGGAAGACAGCTCCATGTGGTTTCTCAACAATCTCCACGTCATTACAATTATTTTCAGAATAGCCCAGGTATCATAAACACTGTGGTGTTGTGTTTATGTACCTATAACAGTTTGTGGCAAGGTCTGACTTCTGAAATATTTTGTGACTGTTCCTTCTCATGGATCTATATTTGTACAGCCCAGTGGCTGTCCTGTATCTCTCAGAGAAGCAGCTTGGGGAGGAACCTTGGTACTCAAAGAGACAGGAGTCCTCTTCCACTTCAAGAGTATGGAGAGTTCCAGTTGATTTGCTCAAGACAACCCAGACCTGTAGGAGCAACTTGACCAAGGAAAGGTCTTCTATGCAATGTCAGATCACTGTTACTGGAGGAAGCTGGTCCCAGTCCAGTAGTGGCATCCATGTGTGGTTAACCCTCCTGACACTCCCTGAAAAAAAAGCTCTGAAACCCCTTCTCTCTTCCCTGCAAAGGGCCACTTCCATCTTACAGTGCCCAATACTTTACACACAAATTTATATGGCCAGTTTAAGGTAAATCTGGAGAGGACTGGAATGTAAAAGCGGTGACTTGCAAAACCACTTGTCTTATGTTGGAGGTGAACTGGTGCTGCCCACCTGGAAGAGGTCAGGCAGGCAGTGTAACTGCTGATCTGTGGCCAGCAGGGACCCAAAGTCACAAGCCAGAATGAAAACCACAATTCAGTGAGCTGTGGAAGGACATCTGAGCAGAAGTTGGGACCCCACAGGGAAACCTGGCACACAGAGCTGCCAGTGGTGGCTGCAGGGGAGGAGAGGTGAGCCTGGGGGACAGGGCTGATGGCCATCTCTGACCTGACTGCAGGAACAAAGGCAGGGATGCCCAACAGTGCCCTGTATTACATGCCAGCACAAAGACCTGAATCGTTCTGGCTTGCTGTTTCAGGTTATAAATGTTGGAGTTTCTCAGAAGTTTAAAATATTCACAGTGCTAGTTTTGTTAATTTTCCATCTCAGTGGAAATGGAGTGTTCTGAGGATATTCACATTGAAGCCACCCACTGGAACTTTTACAATGTGCTCTAAAGGAATAATGGGATTGATGAGAAGTCATTACCACTGGTATTTATTTTCCCATTCCATTATGTCAAAACTTTTTTTTCACTAGCCAAGATCACTTTTCTTGACAGCACAGCCAAATCTACCACTGATGCTTGATCCTGCTGTTGCTCTAAGGGCTCTTTTATTTTTAAAGGATTCATTAATCACCTCGGTTGTCTTCTTAGCAAGCCACTGTTGTGTTGTTGTGATTTCAAGATCACAAAACTATCTGTGTCCTTGACATGACCCAGACATCCATATCTGGTACGAAAAGGATTTTAATTTTATGCCAGCAATAAAAACCGATAACTGGAAAACTTATAATAATTTGAGACCACATAATAACCAGGCTCGTTCTTTTCCAGTGCCAGCATTCTGCAGGTGTTCTGAAGGATGGTGCAGACACAAACCATTGCTTCTCTCCTGAAATACGAGGCTCCTCTCGGGCTCTCCAGCAGCCTCTGGCCCCCTGCTCCCCCGTTCAGGAGTCACGGGTCATTAGGGTTGTGTAGCTGTACAAATACTCTACGTCACCCCTCACTTCTTGATTTGGTCCATTTGCTCCTGCTGCTGCTGCAGACACACTTCTAATTGGAAAAATAAAAGATGGCCTGAGCACAGACACTATCAGTAAATGGAAACCATGAAAATGCCTTCAGATCTGTACGGGGAGATATGAAATCTGAAATTTTAGAGCAAGGTGCTGCCCAGATCTGACTTCAGGGAATTAAGACTTGTTTTGTTTTTTTGTTTGTTTGTTTGTTTTTTTTTTAAGGCTGAAATTCTTATCATCTGGTAAAACTTCTGGAATCACTAGTTATAAAATCTTCAATACTTTTCCAGCTACTTGGATTCAAGAGATGTGGAGGAGTTCTTACAAACAGTTGTTTCTATAATTAAAAGAGTTCTCTTAAGAGAATTAGTTTGCAACTACTTATTTATAAGCTAGATACACAAATGGCAACTTCTTACACACAGTGTACAGAAGCCCTAAAGTACCAGCACTGAGCAAACCAAACCAACTCAAATAAATGAGGGGAAGGCTTGTATTTTTAATACACACAACTCATTGCTGAGGGCTTGATCAAATAAACTGCAGTGACTGAGATAAGGGACAGAACATAACCGATATGAAAAGGAGATTGTGATGCTCAGTGTGATGCTTTCAGTGTGATTAAAAGATAGAGGTATTCAGAGACTGTAAAATCAGGTTTTTGGCCCCTTTCTGACATAGTCATTGTTGCAGATGCACTTTCAAATTGCTATGTAAACTGAGTCTTCTGGATGTCATGGAAAGGATAGAAGGCTGAGCTCCCTTGAAATTCATGGCATAGGGGTTCCCAAGGTTTTCAGACTAACAAAACATCAACATGCCAGTACCATCATATGTCAGGGATGAAATGTTAATTTAAAACAGCATGTAGTGTGGCTCCGTAGACTCCTCAAGGCCCCAGGGGTCTCAGATGGCAGCCACCTCCCTACTTCTTGTTAACTGTACTGGGATTTTCCTAGGAACACACATCAGTGATGAGAAAAGATGAAAATACTCAGCATTTAGACTCTCCAACCACAATACAAGCACGTAGCTGGCAAACGTAGTTGCTAAGCTGCTCTCCCTATTTGAAAAGTCATGGCAGTCAGGTTCCCCGTGGCTGGTAAAAGGGAAACATCACACTCATTTTTAAGAGGGGTAAAAAAAAAAGAGAACCCTAGGAACTATTGATCACTCAGCCTCACCTCTAGGATCATGGAAGAGATCCTCCTGGAAGCTATGTCAAGGCGTATGATGGCAGGGAAGTGATGAGAGACAACCAGCATGACTCCACCAAGGGCAAATCATGCCTGCTCCCTTGGAGGTCTTCTGTGATTTCCTTATTCCCCAGACTGCGCTGGGGAATAAGGAAAGTGAATCTGATGTCATCCATCTTGACTTTTTACCCTCAATGGAGAGGGGCACTGACTTGCAACTAAAAGACGGTAATTTAGGAGATACAAGAGAGAAATTCTTTATATTAGGGTGGTGAGGCACTGGAACAGGCTGCCCAGAGAAGCTGCAGATGTACCATCACTGGAAGTGTTCAAGGTCCAGTTGGACAGGGCTTTGAGCAACCTGATACAGTGGAAGATGTCCCTACCCATGGCAGAGGGTTGGAACTAGATGTTCTTTAACAACTACTTCCTGCACAAACAATTCTGTGGTTCCATGATTTTATGTCCCTGCAGGCTAATGCTTCTCTGCCAGGAAGACCCAGGACTATGATTTCCAAAACTACAAAGGAATATGGGAATAAGGAAGAAAGCCATTCTTTCACCAATTCACCTTCTCACATGAAAACTGCGCTGTCATCAGACCTATGGAGATTATTCTTTCTCTCCCCTGACCATTCCTGGTGGCTGAACTGACCTGGCAAAGGAGTAATACAGAAATTAATCTATCATTTTTTATGGAGAACTGCAGTGATTTAATACACCTTGTGTTCAAAACAGTACTACCAGTATAAGCACCTGAGGCCAGACAGGTTCCCAAATTCCCAGAGTAACAACAAAGATGCAATTTCAGAGGCTGACAATGTCCATAACACAACAGGGCACTAAGTTGTTTCTAGGCATAATAAGGGGCAAGATACTGGCCCTTGAAATAATCCCATCATCTTCCTTCACATGATGATTTTGGCAGCTAAATGACTGCATAATACCCTATGAAAAAAAGAATGTCAGGCTTCCAAATGGTATGAAGCACTCACTTCTAAATTGAGCTATTCCTGAGAAAACAGCCACTAAAACCCCGTCCCAGTCAAGGTGACTGAAATGGTTGTAAGTGAAAAGGGTGACTTTCAAAGCTTGTGTCCATCCACAGAGCTTAATTCTTTTTCCACTGCTGTTACTGCTCTCTTCAGTGTCTGGAAACAATTCCCAGAATGGAGAGATACCAGTAGCACGGACTGAAGGTCTGCAGCTGCCTTCTCACTGAGACTGTCCCCTTTTTGCTTCTTTAAAACAAAAAGGCCACTCACTCTGCAGGGATGTCTGGTGGTGCTGGAAGCAGAACACCAGCTAGGCTAGAGCACTGCTTATGGTACAGTGGAGTAGGTACTCTAGCTTGAAGCTCTACAGGTTCATAGCTCAGCTGCAAGGAAATGCAGCTGCATCAAAACAAAACACAGTTGCGGACAGGGGGAAAACACATCATGCTCTCATCACAATAAAAGCTACTTTGACCCACTTTCAAAACAATACATCAATCTCACCTGAAACTCTCATCACACAATGAACAGAACTAAATATTGAACAAACCAGCTCATAATTGTCTTTCTCCATTCAGCCCTTATCAAAGTTAACACCTCATCAGTCCTTTTCTTAGAGGATGTGAGTTTTCTTTCCCATTTAGGGCCCCATCAGCTGGAGGCAGCCTGCAGCTGTAAGAACAAGGCCTCCTCCCATCATGGGGATGACACAGATGGCTCTAAGTATGGATGACAATTTTGATCCAGAGAACTGAGGAGGCAGACAGAAAGAGGTATGCACAGGCCTCCCTTTGCACATGAGACAGGGCAGGAGGCACAAAGCCATCCCCACTTGTAGTTCAGGGCTGCAGGGACAGTAGGGATGTGGCTGCCTTCCAGTGCAGAATGGAGGGCACTGGGAAACAGGGTGCCAAAGAGAGCCCTGGCCTCATTTTCTTGGCAGATTCCCAGAGCCTCTGAGACCGAGTGCTGTTCATGGGCGTCTGTCTCTTACAAAAGGCTCTGCTCCCCTGATGAAACAACAATTGAAACAGTCCACAGGTGATGGCTGCAAAGGGTCACAGAGTCTTGCTTGTTGCTCTGTATCTTCTCCACTGCAGTCACCTCGTGATATCCAGCCCATCAACATGAGATGTCCACAACTTCAAACCACAAGGGACATCCTCGTTGGGAAATCATTCTGAGAAGAGAGGGAGAAGACGGAAGTCAACAAAAGATTGAAGTCAACAGGAAAGCACCCATAGAACAAATAGATAGACAAAGCTTTGACAGAGACACAACAAAACAGCAACAGCTTTGTCCACTCACAACCCATTCCTCTTTCACACATGCCACTTAAGCTCAGGCCTAACAGCCAAGCTACTCTAGCGACAAGGTCTCCTTCATGGAGCAGACTTCAGCCAGATCCCTATCTCCACCAGCCATGAACTCGTCAGTCCTCACTAGCTGGGACTGTGGAAGGATGTTTTGCATTTGCTGGTAGCCTGGGTGAGGAATGCCTTTGGCATAAAAGGCCCTACACAAGCCCAGAGGAGTGGGTCAACAGTCACCCCTTTCAGAAAGATGTCCCTTACACCATACCTTGCTACCAGCCCTGTCCCGGTCTGAAGAACAAGAGTCTCTTAACCCTTCCTTAACAAGGATCAATGCCAAAGCCCTGTAATTTCTGTAAGCCCCAGGTTACTTCCCTATCGTGATCCTTCTAAACTCCAGATAAACTCCCACCATCTTGGATCACCAGGCTACAGATGCCAAAGACATCCCTTACCTCCCTAGTCCCAGGCACATCTGGCTTTCCCCTCCATTATGAACTTCCATGTAGGAGCTATTTCCCATTCTGGTCCCCTACGCCCACAGTGACCTCCCCCTTCCCACGGGCAGTCACACCCAGACCCCAAGCTCTACCCTCCTGGAAAACCCCCTTGCCCGTCAACCCTGGTTAGTAACCCCTGCCTGGTGACTCTCCGTTCAGCCTATTTGGACCAGGACCACCAGACATGGCCTCACTGTTTTCTTGGGGTCCTTTTTCCTCTTCTTGTCAGAGGCATTGAGGTAGGCCTGTTCCCTGGCCCTGTACGAGGGGCCCCGGCTCAGCTCCCTCTCGCTGTAGGGGGGCAGGCTGTCCTCCTCCTCATCCTCCTCTTGAGACGACGGCGGCTGCTGCGGCTGCTGCTGCGACTTCTCGGCTTTGTAGGTGGAGGGTGGTGACCAGGCATAGTATGTTCCCCCTCCTCTCTGGCTGGGCTGCGAGCTCAGCTTCGAGGGGGTGGCACAATGGTCACCGCTCTCATCGTAGCTCCGAGATTTCCTCTCCAAGACGCTGCTGAGGTAGGAGTGGTCGTATTTCTGGCTCCCTCCGGGCGTCCGGCTCACCAGCCTGGGAAGGTGCTTTTCCTCGTGGGCCCGTCTCCGGGGTGGGGTGTACGACCAGCCCCGATCCGAGTCCGTCAGCGGCTCCCTATTCCCTCTGCTGCGCTTGGAGTAGTACTCCTCCATGGAGCTGTCCTGGTGGGGCAGCCCCCCGCTGCGGCCGCCGTGCGACTCCGACCGCTCGAAGCGCCGCGTCTCCTGGCTGTCCGCCCGCCGGGGCCGCTGGCTGTAGGACTCTGCAAAGGCTGCCAGCTCGTCCATGGAGACAGCCGGCACTCCCACGGAGAAGCTCTTACGGGACAGCATCTCGGACTTGGATCTCTGCTGGCTGCAGGAGGGAAGAGGTAGAGTTAGAGGGCAAGATCCAGCTGCGCTCGTCCCCTTGGGCTGCCTGCACAGACAATGGAGGGAAACAGGCACTCCTGGGAGCATGAATCATCTGGACTGTTTCCATCATCTTCCATAGGAAGAGATGTGTCACATCCTTGAGACCCGGGTTCTCTCTGCTGACTGTAAAGGCAACTCAGTGTAGACAGCTCAGGCTCTGCACATCTAAGGTTACCCGAGATTAACCCCAGAGTGCATCTCCCTTGACCTCCAGTGTGCAGGGCTGGACTTGCTTCTTATTGGCCCCAGAGCTTGTAGGTTTATGTCCTGCTGGGAAAACCCAAGAACCCAGCTACAGAAGCTCACAGTAGCGCAATTTTAAAGCAGTGAACTGGCAAGATAGCACAGTACTGAAGGAAGGAAATCCCTGCCATTGCTTTTAGGACACTGGGATGTTGGTATGTGCGGGAAGGATGTACTATCTCTCTTCCAGGTACCAGAGTGTCAGTCCTTTAGGCCTGGAGTACAAGTCTTGCTGCACCAAAGCACCAGGGTGCAACTCCGAATAAAGCGAACCAGCACTGGGAAGCGCTGGAGGTATCAGGTGCAAATCTCAGGAGAGAGATTTGTACCTGTACCTTCCCACTTTAGGAAGGGTGGCTTGGTTCCCTATTAATCTCACTTTTATATCCCACTGGGAATGGGGCTGGTACCTAGCCTTACCCAGCTGGGTAGGCTTCAGCAGGCGTGTGGGAATCAGATTCATTCTGACCTCATCTAACGACACGTCCAGATTTCCTATTTCTGTCTAACCCCTCTCTCCCGCTAAGCAGAACCAGAGCAGCAGGAAACGGAGAAGAGCTACCAGTCAGTCCATCTGTCCCTTCTCCTCTCTTTACCACTCTGCCAGATATAGCTGCCTCCCAACATGGTGATTCCTCACCTGTGCCAGTAACTGTCCCTCTCATCTCTGTAATCAGAGACAGCCTGAGACCTGGACGTGCTGCCCCCGCCGATGACTCCCGCCCAGTATTCCGCGTCGCCGTCCATGTCCCCCGCGGGAGGCAGGGGTTTCCTCCGCGACTGCCGGTAGGGCTGGCGGAAGTTCAGGTCCTCCTCGTGCAACGAGCTGAGCTCAGACACGGTGTTGTTATCTGCAGAAAAGAAATGAGATGGGCATCCTCACCTGACAGCATGTGGGAGAGGGGAGGAGAGGACAGGCTGTGATGCGCTCAGCTGCAGCTTTCTCAGCAGAAAAGCTGAGATGCCCTCTGCTAAAAAACAATCAAAATGGAATGAGAGGCCTTCACACCCTTGAACAATCCTGCCCAGCACTGCTGGAGCTCTGTCTGGACACAGGAGCTGCTGTTAGACCTAAAGGTCTTCTGAACTTGTCGCTGGCAGCCAGGTGGGATATTCCAAGGATACCGCAAATGGCATGAGGTTCCTGCGTTCCAGAAATTCCCCTCAGCCCTGCTTCAGTAACACATGTGAGCTCCCTGCCTTGGGAGGTGGGCACTGAGCGTGGTGGGACATCAGCACAGCACAGCAGTTGTGCCACCTCCCCCTTTCCTGGTGAGAGACAGGCTGGCTCTGGATTTGCCCTGACTTGCCCATCTAAAACAAAAGCAACACCCACAAAAAAAGATTAAGAGAAAAGTAAGTGTCTGTCTGAATCACTGTCAGTCTCTACCCCATCAAGCGCACTGACATCTGGAGGCCTGACATACCAATCTGCAGAGGTCTTTTTATAGTAAAGTTTGTGGGTGGAGAAGACAGTGTGCTCAGCAACGACTGTTTAAGAAGCATATATCATTTGTTCGTTATGCCTAATCTGTACAAGAGCTTTGATGTAGTGTCATTCCCTTTGCCTTACCTTCATTGATTTGCAGCATCCCAAATGTCTCTTTTAAATGAGTCTCTATCGGTGCCTAACATGGGTTAGCTCAGTGTCACAATATCTGGCTTCTTGAATGTCTCTTGTAGTCCCTGCTCCTTCTGCAGCAGCCACTCCAAACAAACCTTCTGCACCCTTCAAACCACACTGTGGTCACTGCAGCCCACAAAACTTGTTTTCAGTAAAACCATCCCTCTCCTATTTTGCCATGCTGGGAATTTACAGACTGTAATTTACACTGTAAGACGTATAGAAATTGTGAAAACAATATCCCAGCTATTATCACACCACAGGCTGTAGAAGGTGTAAGTATCATAAGGTGCTGATGATCCAAAACTTTAATTACCTGAGTGAACAATTTTCATGAGCTTTTCAGTATCCCTCACTTTGTCTGCTCTAATTAAGAATGATTAGGTAAGCATCAGATCTTCAAAATCAGAACGTACCTGCAGATACCTAAAATCTAGGCTTTATCTGCCCCATTTACCATATCCTGGACATCATACCTTAAAGGCTGACCCTGAGGCAAAGACAGCCAACTCTGAACTATGAATTTGCAGTCTTTTTCCAGTCAGTGGGAAGGAAAAAAACAAACCATGCTTCTTTCTTACATCGTTCTCGCATCCTCCTGGCTGGGTCAAACTGAGCCAGTTCTTTCTCAACATAGTACAGCACCTTCATGGAGTCCCTGTCCTTGTCAGTCTGGATCCTGTACCCTTTGCGCACTGCTAGGGAGAAAGAAAAAAAGCACAGGAGGGAAACACACATTTAAGATTTTGAAACAATTTAAGAACAAGACATTCCAGCAACGCTGCTTCTGTAATTGAGCTCATGTCTGCAGGCAGGTAGGCTGCGTCAAAACAGACTGAGTCAGTCGCTGCTTCAGAGGAAATTCGTCTAAAATGTGGGATGTGAAGCTGTAGCAGTTGCATCATTCTGAAAGTTTGCAGTTAACAGCAAAAATGGTTTTGGAAATGCCCAATTTGTACAGCCAAATGCATCAAGTGGTGTCACTGCCACAGAGCGATTCCAACTCCCACAGACGATTGCGAGGAGAAAAGCAGAACTCCTTCCTCCTTCCTCAGCACCACAGAAAGGATTCGTCATGGCACAGGAGAAGCAGTCCCGGAAGACCAGGCTTCCCCTATGCAGCGGGGGCCGTAAGCTCCCAGTCTGCAGGAGCAGCAGGTGGCTGAGCATTTGGGAGCTGTCACTCTGCAGGACCACTCCACCCTCCCGGCACCACGAATTCTGCTGACACAGGTTGAAGAGCCTGTGGCAGCAGAAGCTCCAGAGAATACAGAAGGGAACACCAAATCCCACAAAGCGCATCACACTTTTTTTAAGATTTATACCCAGTCCCATGATGAGGCCACTGGTAGCTGTGAAACTGCCTGCTCTGGCTTTCTTTATGTGCTTCACTCTACAGAAAAGGTATGTCTTACACATACATTAAGTGCTTGACTCCTAGGATTACTCCATTTACAGGGGAAGTCTGGACAGCTTTTTTGGGGGTTTTCCACACTCCTGTGTGCAGAAAAGAAGCCCCTACACATCTGGAGCCACAGCAGCTCTAACTCTGGGAGGCTGGGTCCATGCACACCTTACCTGCTAACAACAGCTATGAACAGCCTGACTACCCCAAGTCAGCAAGCAGAGAACTCCACCTGTCAGGGCTTTGAAGAAAATAAGGCTTTTATAGCAGATCATTTAAGAAAGGTCTCAGCCTGGGACTATTTCAGGCCCAACACAAACTCAGGTCTAGGTACAAAAGAGGACTACAACCCTCAAATTCAGCCTCACTACAGAACTGTGATAAGGACAATTCACTTAGCACTATAGAATGGAACCTGTCTGCCTTGCACGGGGTTAATATGTTCCCTTGTGTGAATACTGCAGTGGTGCATGAGTGCTCCTCTTGTGGAACAATTTAAACACTTGGAGAGTGGTTTTGAGCCAACCTGTTCCTTCTGTTTTATCCCTCACTGCAATATATCAAGCTACTAACATATGGGTTTGGTAGTACGTTGCATACTAGGCACTGTGTGGGCTGAGCAAGGACTTGGCAGAGGTATTCTTAGGCACCTTCTGTCCGACACAGCTGTGCCTGTGTCTGTGCACTATCAAATTACCATGCTCTGCTTCAGGAATGGCTGTGCCATAGAAATGGGTAGAACAATCCCTGTCACAATCCCACAGGTTGCTTCAGGAGCAAAGTGCTTTACTGTGGGTTTTCACTGCGCACATGTAAGTTAAGTGACTACATCTTGAAATATTACCTTGTGTGTCTGCACTTTGGAAAGGTATTAGATGTAAAAACACAGTATGGGTCTATCAGGGTCCTTCTTTTAATGTGGCTCCAGATAGCTTAGCTGACTGCAGTCTAGAGTTCTGCTATGCTTTATTATCCCCATGAGTGTGTGCACAATGGCTGCAAAATGCACACAGTGGTTTACAGAACCCTGGGAAGGAACCCTGTCTCTGCCTTACAAAATGAGCAGCACAGCACATCTCCTCAAGTGAGATTTCTACTATAAAGAGGGGCTGGACTGAGTGGCCTCAGAAGAGATAGCTCCTGCTGCACTGCACGAGCAGCAAGGCCAGTTCTGCACCTCCCCATCACGGCTGGCCTCTGCCTGGTACCTTGCCAGGAAAGAGGCCTCTCACTATTCTTTCTTCTAATGTCTCTACCAGGAGCTCAGCTAAGCTGCCACCTCATTTACATACAGGCCAGCAAACAACCATCAGCTGGAAATGACTCTGACCTACTAATAACCTTTGGGGAACTTGAACAGGCAGCTTCCAGGCTGTCTCCCCAGAGCCACTACTCACGCTGAAGCTGCGCCAAATATCTATTTGGGTAACATCTATAGCTCCTGGAACTGATGGAGAATTAGCTAGACTTCATGCTTGACTTGCTATTGCAGCTGTGTATCAAAAGGCAAATGAATTTCTTGGTTAATTCTGCAAGCATCTAGAAATTAATTTTGGATTTAAATCTGCAAAGATGACTGTGAACTGCTCATAAAAAGTATTTTCCATTACCGATGAAGCATTTTTTGTCTCTACGTTTATTTATTAAAAACTTCTCATAATGATATTAATAATGTTCAACTTATTAAATCTCTTCACTATCCCTTCATCTGAGAACCAAAGATATTACTGCTTCCTCCTCAAACCTTTCTTCATCTGTAATTGCCATAATCCTTTAATCAGGTCTGAATAATTTTAGGCCCATCTTAATTATAAGGAAATAAAGATGCAGAGATGTTGACCACATGTCCAGAACCATTCACTGAAGTCAAAGAGAAGAGAACGTTCTTCCCTGTTAGACCATATTTTTTTCTCTGGCACAGTTCACAGATTTCTAATGTTTAAATTGTGTTTAACTAGCATTATTTTTATTCTTCTGTGGGTGGAACCAAAACTGTAAGCTGTTTCCCTCCCCAGAAAGGACAGCACTACTATTTTTTTCACACAAGTATGCTTAGGAAATAAATGATGCCTCATCCTTAAACGCTTTAAATGTTAAAGGTCTGCAGCCCAGCTCTAGGATCAAGAGCTTCCCTGTGTGCAGGGTTTAAGGGATATATGCAAGAGTCTCCAGGTAACCACTGGATTTAAAATAGAGCATGAATTCTAAATTATGTGTTGCCAACACTTCTAAATAAGAGAGCTAAAGGTTTTGGGATTTTTTTTCCTTATTCAGCCCTAAGTTTAGGATGGAGTTCCTAGGCTTAATCAGAGCTTTGTCATACGGCTTTTATGTAACCCTGGACAAATTTTCTAAATATCCTCATGCCTGAGTTTGCTCACTAGATCCCCTCACAGGGGTCGTTTTTAAGCACAGAATCTATCTGGGGCAAAAGCTGTAGTTTTTAACCTTTTTAGGCTCCATCCTCTGTCCCCCAGCACTTCTGATCCTGCTTTTCTAAATGGACTTGACAGAAAGGTTGAACTCTCAAAGATAAAAGGTTTCACATCAGACCTACACTGGCTGTGTGGAGGACACAAAGACCATGATTACTGCTCCTTCTGAGAAAAGGTCCTTACTATAAACTCAACCATTACCTGTTTTGTTTAGCTTGCTGTCTGGCCAACCAGCAAATAAGTAGCATGGAAAAGCCACATAATGTTTTCTCTTCCACAGCCTGTCATTAGGGGATATTCTGGCTTTGTGAAGGAACTCAAGGGACAAGAACAGGATACATGCTATAACCCTTCCTTAGCTCCACAGTTCAAGGAACAACAGGTGCATGATCAAGACTAAGGGTTCGTCCACATTCTTGCAAAATAAATTAATTAAAATAATAATAATAAAAAAGAAATTAAGAACCTCTGTTGTCTTGCCACAAAGGTTGAAATTCTGTGATAATGTTTTTATTTGCAGTGCATAGTATTTCACGTCAAGTCCTGAGGTGAGGGATTGAGTCCAGACACCTGATTTGGATTATATAATAAATGCATCCTTCTGTGTAATGATCATGCAAATTTAAGAGTTATTCTGTTTGGTTACCAAACACATCCACAGTTTTTCATTCTGCACTTGTGCTCTGTTAGCAGAGACAAGACTGGGGCTGTGATCTGACTCTTAAAAAATCCCTCGAGTTCCCACAGCCACCACCACGCTCTACATGCAGTGACATTTTTCACAGGAGAAAAAAAATTAAGCACTGGGGTGTCATTCATCATTTTCAGACAAAGGTTTTTGAATCAGATACATTCTGCTTTGGATCAATGATTGATTTTTTTCCTATTTTAAAGTGCTCCATTCCAGAGCTGTTTTGATTTCAGTGGCAAAATAAATTATGATTGTTGAAGGAAAATACTTTTCGTAATTCTAGAAAGGTTAATATACTGACTCGGGCAGCAGAAGGACATGTAGAGTTGTTCCAAAAACTTAATTAATTGATTATGCTACTTAATCTTGTCTTTTCATATGTTTTATCAACACACTGTCACAAGCAAATTTGACAATTGATAATTAGTGTGGTGCTTTGAAATCAGACATGTAGCTGGATCAGTGGTGACTCTACACGGGTAAAACCCATTTCTGCAGCAGCTTGTTTGACTTTAGACCACCACTCCGATCCTGAAATGTGTGTGGCTAAGTAGCTGCCCTCTTTTTCCTTGATGGCAGCAGAAGTGACCCTCAACGAGACAGAGTCATCATAGTGACAGTCTGTGTCTGACACTGATCCACAACTCCTTTCTAGTTAGAAGCCTTTCATCTCTCACACTGCACAAATGCAAAGGCTGAAGAAAAAAGTGCCCTACTGACTTCTGTAAGGCAAAGGACGGGGTCCAGCCCCAAATGCTCTTGGGCAGAAACACCAAGGGAGTAGGTTCCTTTGCCCAAAAGGCCATGGGAACAGTAAAACATGCTGCAGCAAAAACTGCCACCAAGCAGTGCCCTACAGAGGGTAGGAAGAAGAGTTTACAAAGAGAAAGCAGCTTGCAAGGCATCAGCTCTAAGGGGAAAATGGCCACTGCCTGTTCCCCTGAAATCATCCTTTTGTCCTCTGCAAGTAAATATCAGCAGCAGTAACGAGAGGGGTCCTGTACAGGAACTTGGCCTCCCATTCCCTGCTGATGTAACTGGGGATCCACAGACTGACACTGTGCTGATGGCACTAGAAAAGTTGGACCGTGTGGCCCCGAGGGATGCAAATGTCATTGTCAGAGACAAGATTAAAATGCAGTTTCTCTGTGTTTCTTCCGTTCACACCACTCGACCAGTGACAATCATTCTTCCTTTTCCCAGCCCTGCTCCCAGTAAAGGGGACTGAATGCTGTGCCTGGCACTGCAAATTACCATTCTGGCTTCCTCCACTGGCGTCACTTGGGGCTAAGGGAGGGGGGTGCGACTTATCCATCAGCACAGCAGGTGATGGGACACCAGCTACAGGAACACTGGGGATGTAGTATGGACCTGGCATGGCAGAGACTGGAGGAGGGTACCCAGCTTTTGCTGCTTTGCCTGCTACATACACTGAAAAAGAAAAAGAACAAGAGTCAGTGTCACAGCAGCCCCCACAGACCCTCACAGCACGTGGCCGAAACCTGCACACATCACAGGTGACAACACAGCAGGAGACAACCAGACAAATGAATTTAAAAAGAACCAACCTGAATTTCTCTGAGCCTCAAAGGGCATTGAGGGGAGTTTAAAAAAGTCACACAGCAGGTTGAACGAGCACTGCAAGATGCCCAGAAAGACACTCAAGAGCGTTACAGCCACCACTACCACTGCCACAATTTAGTGGCAGTTCAGCTTTAAAAACAGCTGATGACCTAAGCAGCAGGGATGAGGCTCATGGAACTTGACAGGTCTGACCAGGAACCTTGCTGGGTTGCAAGGATTTTGCACTGTTGTAGAGGGCAGCTGCTTTGCATTGCCAGGAGGAAGCCTCCCAGGATGCTCTTAGCTCTGACCCACAACATTCACTGACACAACAACAACTTTGGAATGGGAGCATGACACTTTGGAGAAGCAGGCACAGCTGCCAAGGCAGGGGAGGGCTCGGGGAATTACATTTGTAATTAACTTTGAGCGCTCAACCATTGAGTAATAGGTCAGATGCTTCACTCCCTAAGAACGAGTTCTTTAGCCAAGCAAAGTGCTCAGGGCAAGGGAAGCATTATTAGCAGATTCTCCTCCTGTTCTGCCATGGAGCTGAAGCAGTACAGCAGAAGATTTGCACCAGGCTTGGGCAGGGTCACTCACGTGCCCGGGGACAGCAGCAGGACTCAGGACAGCAGGGGCAGCGGACGTAACAGCAGCAGCTGTGTGGGCAGCACTGGCACCAGCAGATCCCCACCAGGAGGAAGAACAGGAACGCCCCCAGGATCACCAGGCCCACAAAGACCCACTCTGGAAAACAAGGGGAGAAAAGAAGATACTTACAGGATTGCACACTGCTGTGGAAGGGACGTCAGCAACATCCTCCCAACGGAGAGCACGGGGACAAAACAGACAGGTGAATAACAGAACTGGACTGGCTCCCTGTGGGTCCAGGACTAGGTCCTCCTCTGTGTCCAAATGGCACATGACAGTGAGAAATGGAGCTACAGAAATGTGGTCCCTTCTGGCACCACCTCTGGCTGGCTGAGAAACAAGCAGCACAGAGGCAGGAGCTCCCCTTCCCCAGCCCAGAAACCCGTCACCCCTCAGCAGACTCATGAGAATGCCACAGGACGTGCTCCATTAGCATTTGGATCTCATCAAAGACTCATTCTTCCCGGCCATGTTCATGCCCTGCTTATGTGTTTGTTCCCTACCCACATTCTGGTTTTAATGGGACAAACTAGATGGTGAAAAGCACGCTATAAATAGCCCAGTAAATGAGCCAGGCCTGCCCCTTTGCAGCAAGGCCCACGCATGCAATTATTCTTTTGAATGTGCCGAGCGAACATCCTATTCAGGCGCTGCAGCCAGCCAGGAAACACAACAACCACTTTTTTTTTTTCCCCCCACTGAAGCCCCAGATGATGTCTGAGCCAAGCCCCAAAAGGGAGCAGCTGAAAAACACCCTACAAATGAAAGCACAGAAGAGCTGGTCCACAAAAACCAGGATGGGGTTGGAAGAGGAACCCAGCCTGTGCCAGGGCAGCTCCCAGCTCTGCATCTGAACACTCTGCACTTTGCAGGGGATTGCGAGCACAGGGCTGCACCTACTTCCATGTGGGAATTCCATAGATTAAGGGAATGATCAGTGAACACATCTGGGCTGAGAAATTTCAAGATTCTGAACATACAAGAAGCCTAGAGGTGGTTTTATGTCAGAGAGATACACAGACCTATCCAGAAGCCAGATCACTGGTGGGGAAAGACTCCAGGTGTTATTCAACCACCTTGGAGAAATGGTAAAAGAAACAGATAAAGACGTGGTGGGGCTGCTTTGCAGTGGGGTAGGGTTTATCCCCACCCCAGACAAAAAAAGCAGCAGACCACTATTTCCAAAAGATGTCCAGAGCTCTCTAAGGGATCTCCTGGCACATCACTATCCAAGATGAAGAAGTATTGATACAAGGATTGCAACGTGCACACAGAATCACACTGGAAAAACAGTGCACCCCTCACCTGCACGCCTAGGCTGACAAGTCAAGGAGAAATGTTCCACTTGGACCAATCAAAACAGAATTTTTTCTAGTTCTTAATAAAACACAAAAATAAGAAGGAGACATTTTTGATCCATCCACAGAATTGTGTTTGAACAAAAGTATGTTTCTTTGCTTAGTTGGAGTTTTCCTTAACTCTTTTACAAAGAATTCCTCTTTTTTTAATGCCATTTTAAATCTAGAATTTAAAATTTCCTTTAAAAAATGTCAGTCAAAGATCTGGCATCTACAAATCAAAACACTTCATTTCAGAAGTGTGAAGTGAAATGTTTTCTATTTTTTTTGAATATTTTATTTCTTTTTTGGCTGAAACAGACGAATTTCATTTAACTTTGCAGTTAATTTTGGTCTCCGTGGAATTATTTTTTTTTCAGTGAACTTACTACATGCTGAGAATAATTCTGCTAACGAGTAAGGAAATGGCAGAAGAAAAGCATTCATGAATGGAAAAGCAGGAGCTGAGAGATTACTGACACAGTTCCTCAAGTGCCGGTTCTTGCAGCTATTTTTCTTAATATTTTCATTATTTACCTTGACACAGAATATAAGAATATGTTAATATATCTTGACAGGAAGTAGTAGGGATGCATTGTCAATAAAAATGAAGACTGGGATGTGCTACAGAAAGGGCCAGTTGTCCTGGGACCTACAATAAGAAATGTGAAATGCAGCAATATCCTGAATTTCAAGGTACACAGCAATACTTTCAAGGTCAGAGGTTCAAAGATTAAGAACAACTTCTGTTCTGAACAGGGCATCACTAGCTGAAAACAACTGAAAAACAAGAGAAATGATCCAGTATACTATTCCATCACAAGAGAACGGCCACCAGTTATGCAATACAGCCACAAAAAATGGCAGACACAATCCTATGCCCAACAAGGGAGGAATTTCCAGTAGCATTAAGGAAATATTAATGCCATCACACAAGGTCTCCCCTCCATGTAACTTCATCTGAAGTTGTATAGTACAGCTCTGGTCATCTTTGTAGAAGAAAAGATGAATTTGAGTTGGAGCTGATGCCAAGCAGGGATCTGAGGGGATGAAGGGACTCGGGAGCCTGCCTTGCAGCAGGGGAGCTGCAGCTCCCTGCGTTAGTCCATTTAAAAGAAGGCTGAGGGCAGACGTGGCTGCTGCCCATAAATATGCCAGGAGGACAAATGCAGGAGGAAAAGCAGGAATTATAGTTAAAGGTCTCACATAAATGGGCACGAACAGGCTATCAGGAATGTAGAGAGAAGCGGAAAGAAGCACATCAAAGAAAGCGATCCAATGGGAAAGGCCAAACCCAGACTACCCGGCTAAGCTTATGGAAAGGATGAAATTACATGGCTGGCAAGCAAGACAGCAAGCCAGACTATGCTTTCCAGTCCTGTACTTCCTAACCTATGCCAATCTGAGCAGGGCAACAGCTCAGTGGTTTTTTCTTTTGTTGTGTTCTCATCTTGTCCTCTACAACCTCTGGGTATAGAGAAGGTGGCGAAACAGAAGGTGGCATGACACAAGTGGCCAGCCACAGCTACGCAATGAAGCTCAGATGTCAGATCTCCAGAGCTGTTAGTGAACAGTTCACAACCACTCCATAAAGGATAAAAGCCCAGCAGAAGAAAAAAACAGACACATCAAGTCCATTGCAAGAGTATCTGTGGTCTGCCTGAAGACATCCTGAGAGTACAAAAGGGCGTCGGGTTAGTGTGTACCTTGCACGGTGCCAGATACTCAGCACCAGAAGTGGATGTTTGAAGTCAGTGTCACAACCACTGGGACCTAGGAGTCAGGAGCAATTTTACTCCACAGGAAGTCAGACCTTTTGCTTCTCTGATGATGTTAAGAAAACAGCAGAAGAGCCTGCTGGCTCCTCCTGCATGCACAAAACTGGGGTTCAACCAGTTCCTGACACAACTGTGCAACGCTGGGATTCAAATGACTACCAAGCTGAAGTGCTGTGTGTCCTTGCTGTCTGGAAACTACTGGTTTGTGCTTGCAGAAGTATCTGCTTTTGTTTGTTCTGGTAACAGGTAATGCTAACACCTGAAACGTGTTTTGCTCCTGCATCTTACACTTTCTTGTTTACCCGTGCAGTAGGGGTATCAGAAAACTACCTGGCTAACACATAAGAATTTTATACCCATTCAATAAAATTGTAAATAATGGCGGAAAAAGTGTTAGGCAATAGAGAATCAGCTGCTGTCTATGCTGAAAAGACCAATCCCTCTTCTGCTATGCAGAAATTCTAGGGAGGTTTGGGTTACACTGGAGGTGGGTGAGTGTCTGCCTTCTCTCTGTTTGCATCTCTGGGACAGACTCGAAAATAGTTTCACACATTTCTGTGAAGTCGCATTTTTGCCCAAACGTGTGAAAGAAATGCTCCTTGGGCACCATCAGGGAATGATCAGATGACTCAAGGGCTAAATGTTCTCACAGCTTTTCCCTTTCAAGGACAATCTGTTGCACAGTCTCTGTTTCCTCTGCAAGCAGTGCCAGAACTGGTGGCCCTCGCTAGTTTGGCTAACAAGGGATCCATCACGGGCACGGAGCACTCACATCTGCTCCAACCACCTGGTGTTACCAAGATGGTGCCCTGGCCATGCAGCACAAGGGAGGCTGTGCCACTGATGGGCTGCTAGCCAGTGTTCTATTTCTAGCACCTCCTGTGCCACCAACTGTGGCAATGGCTGTGGCAGTGCCACAAGCCAGGGTCTGGGGAGCTGAGGTTACTGCACAGGAGCAGCTGAGGGGTAGAGCTGCACGGGGCTGTCGAGGTCTCGCGGGCTGGAGCAGCGTTACCTTTGTGCTGGGGGAGGGCAGAGAGCCTGACACAAAACGTCCCCAAAACAGCATTGGCATTTCTGTTCTCACACTGATCCTGGCATGACATCAACCATCTCTGCACTGGCTCCCAGCACGGCCCAGCATCAGCTCTCTCAGATCTGAACCCAACACACTTTCCCACTAAGTGACAGGCTTTTCTCTCTTTATCCCCACACATATGAGTGAAATGTACACACATAAAGATGCTGCAGGAGGATAAACAGACAAGGTGACAGAGGAATGGGTATTGAAGGGTGAAATGACTGAATACCTGGCATAATCTCCACAGCAAAACTGGGCAAGAGATCAGCAAGCAGCCCTGTCCTGCCTAGAAAAGACAGAAGGAGGAGAACAAGGAGAGAGGTTACTGCAAGAAAAACACACTCCCCAGCCCCTGCCTTAGCCTCCAGTTCCCTTCCTCATCAGCCCACTTGCACTCTCGTGTTATGTGAATTCCTATCAACCAGAGATGTCATCCTGCTCGATGCCTGGTGTCTGCCTCTGCACTTCTGCCATTTCTGTGTCCTTGCATTTTATCTTTATCAGCAGAGCTGGGGGGAAAGAATCTGGAACAGAGCTTCTCCAATCTAGGCACAAAATGACAAGAAAAAGGAGTCCCTTTAGCATGGTTACATGGTAACATCTTTCTGGAGATATGCTCTATGCATGCAAAAAGCTCCTGGAAATACACAACAGTCCTCAAACAGAAGGACTTTGTTTACTTTTGAAATGCACTGATGTAGTTTCTGTGGATGTGAAACATCTTTAGCCCAAGGCCATTGATAAATCAGACACATGCATCCAAAACCCGTGGGTGGTGCTCTCCGTGTGGGGCTCTGCAAGTGCACAGACAGCTCCACGAAAGGAGGCTTGAAGCATGACTGTGCCTATGTGCTAATTATTTGGAGATGCACGAGGAACTTGCTGAGACTGTGTCATAAAGCCCAGCTCCCAAGCGAAGCAAACCAGCCAGGGGAGGATTTGTGTGGAAATTTGTGTGGAGTCATTTTGCAAAAGGGGGAAAAAAAAAACACAAAGGCAAGTCAACTTCAAAATTTAAAGCCAAATACAAACAAACAAAATCCAAGCCCAAAGGCAGCCTGGTGCCAGTTTTGGCACTGAATGTCTGGGATATTTCCAACGCACAGCAAACATCCTGCCCAGTGTTCAGCTATAATTTACACACACCTGCATGGGCTGAACGGCCGTGCAGCTGTGCTGTGAACTCTTCTACAGGGCACCAGGATCATGCTGGGATTTTTAAAGACATGCACAAGGCAGGAGAGCTGCACTCTGAGGAGGGACACACACTTGTGGGTGTAACATAACAGGTGCAGCTAAGGGTAAGCCAATGCAAAAGTGGTAGAAAGCTACCTTTAACCTCCCCACAGGCCCTGCAGGTCCTGCACTAAGCAGCACTCAGACACAATGATTGATGAACTGGATCCCAAGTTCCTTGGCCTCTAGTCTGTCCTTGAAGCACATTACAATCAAATTCCCAGTCTGTTTTTTTCTCAGTGCTTCAGCAGAGGCTCTGTAGAGATCAAAAATCCACAAGGAAGCCTGCTGGAGCCATAATGAACATACTCTTGAGTGCAGGCAGTGCTTTGCAGCCAGTTGCAACTCATCAAAGCTGACTAGTACTCACAGTAACGCCCATCATGATGAGGTGGTCCTGAACTCTTAGCAAAAGACAGCATGGTGATGTTTCACATATTTGTTCCCCATTTACCACCTTGAGGAAGGGCTCTTGCCATCAGTCCACTGCAACATTTTCATCTACATTTACAAAGAGTTTCATGATGTTCTTTGCAGTCCATTTTCTGTGTCCAAACCACTCATGACTAGTGTGTTGTGGGAACGTGCTCCTGTATGCCTTCTGCTCACAAAACATATGGACACGTATACAACATATGTGTGGCTTAAATCTTGGGTGCCACAGGTGGGATCCAGACACGTGCACCAAATGCATGCCTTGTATGACAGTGTCATAGATTTACAGTATGTTCCACATGCACAATAAATATATTCCTTATTTTCACAAAAAAACCCCCAAGCAGTTCTTTCACAGGCCTCTGTGCGTGTGTGTGTTGTGTAGGTGAAGAGCACACGCATGAACCACATGCATGCAGAACATATGGGCAGACATGAGCATGTAGCTTGCCTCCCATGTGTTATCATCTCTGCACAAGCTCACATGCAGCCCCAGTTTGAGAGCAGATGTCAATGGATAAACAGCTGGAGGTATACAGCTAATTTAGGGCTTGAATCCGTGTTAACAAAGGTAAAGGAGTGACACCTATAAGGAGCAAAAACTCCATCTCAAATGGCCATCACCAAATAGGTGCCTGCTTTATTTTGAACCTACCTGAAGAGCCTTGAACCCTGCTAGTGCTGGGTCTTATGGTACCTTCTGATTCCCAAGAGGAACTACACGACCAAGGGGCAGAAGCATCCCTCAAAAAAACAGTGCCTGAGAACTTGCTAAGTCATTACAAAGACAACCAAAGTGGTTCCTCTGTGCTACCTACAAGCAGTCAAGTATTTCCCTGCTCGTGCAGCCCGACTTGGTTCATCAGAGCATTGCCTGGGGAATTTGGATCCCTGCCCTGGCAGCAGGGTTTACACAGCCCTGGGGGCCCCAGAGCCACCAGCAGGGATGCACAAAGCCTGGGAGGACCTGAGGCAGCAGCAAACACCACCACAGCTCAGCCTGAGCTCTGCTGCCTCGACTACCCCAGCTGACAGCCAGCGAGCACAATGCCGCCTCTGGACTGCGTGCCCCCAGCAGCCTTCCACAGCTCCGACCCCTCCCCACCCTGGGCTGAACTAATTCTCTGATAAACCTTCCCCACACTATTCGTTCAGGGAAGCCAACAGGCCGAGGCCACCCGTGGTTGCCTCAGCAACGGGAGGCTCCTGCCATTGTCCCTCACTGAAGGCAGCTTTCCTCACTCCGCTGCCCCCGCCGCCAGCAACAAGTGGAGCAAAACCCCCACCCCGGCTGCCAGCAGGCACAGGGACAGGGCAGCACCAGGGGGCAAGGGCTGCCAATGGCTCTTGCCTCCTAGCCTGTGCAAGCCTGGCCTACATATGGGCACACCCCAGAGCCAGGCAGTGGCCAGCAGAGGGGATCCTGGGACACCACCTCAGTGGGTTGCACAGTGCCCAAAACGCAGGGAGCAGGGTCTCCTTTTGGACCCATAGCTGTAAAACCAGCCAGGACATGGTCACAGCACCCATCCAGCTCTCCGTGCCAAGGATGCTCCTTCCACGGGTGTTAAGCTCACCTCACTTCTCTCATTTTTTTAAGGAAACTTTAAGGTGGAGGCTGGGGCTAGATAGCAATCGGTGGGGAGGAAACAATTTAGTAGAAGGTCCTGCCAAGAGACCACCTGGCCACACCACGTCTGCACAGCAGCTCTGCCCAGCTGAGAAAAGGCTGGAGGCACTCCAAGACATGGCTGGGCACCGCTGCTGAGTCACAGCTCTGTGCTCCCACCCACAAGAGCTAAGTGTCCTCTGTGCAAGCTCCCACCACCTCGACACTCCCGGCAGGAAAGAGTGAATAGAAAACGGCCCCGTTTACCAGGGTTGTCCCAGGTGACTGTGTCAGAGCTAGGAGCTTGTCCTCATTCCAGAAAGGATCTGGGACACGTGCCATCTCTATTCCCACCACGCTGCTGTGGGGCTTTACCTGCCCGAAGTGACCTCTCACCAGGCACCTCACACGCCCCAGGCCCCAGCCAGCCTTGAAGTGCCAGGGAGCCCATGAGCCCCCCGTCTGCTCCGTGCAGAGCACAGCAGTAGAGCACAGGAGGAGGAATGGGAGAGGAAAAGCTGAGGGGATGACGCAGAGCGGCTCCAGGAGGTGCAGAGACACAGCGGAGGCGAGCGAGGACAGGAGTTAATACACAGGAGGCAGGCAGGCGACAGAGCGGGAGAGCAAATAGCAGCAGATCAGGGAAGACCTGGAGTCAAGCAGACAATTAGCAGAGAGTCTGCAGAGAAGAGACACAAAAATAATTAGGGTAAGTGGTGCAGCTGAAAAGAAATGATGGCATGAATAAAGTAGGCGCAGGTGCAGTCAGGAACACGGCAATTGGGTAAATATGGGAACGTGGTAAATGCTGGCAATTGCATAAATGTGATAAATATTGGGTAACTATGGGAATAACTTTTGAGCTGTTTTCCTCTTTGAAGGCTGCTTCTGCAGCCCTACCTGCTGCAGTGGAACCACGGGATGCAGCAGCTACAGAGAGAACTATTTCCTTCTCAGCGGTGGAAAAATGTGCCAAGCCATGCCACAGCAAGAGGCCCCTGGCATGGGACACTGCCCTGAGGGGAGGTTGGAAAGCATAAGATAGGAAGTGTGGCCCTTGTAAATCAGACACTTTTCCAAGGAGGCTGCTGTGAGATTTATTGGGACAGCATGGCTCTGCAATGAGTTCCTCTGTGCTCCCTCTGCTCGGAGTAAACTTTATCCTTTCTTCCCATCCTTCTCTTCAATTGGAGGGAGAAACAGCAGCAGCCCCTTTTGGAGATCAAAGTTTTAGCAGGCAACAAAGACCTCCAAGGAGGCTGTCGCCATGGCTACCTTAGTAACAGAGGTCTTTTAATCACACCAGTCTCCTTTGTGAGCAGCGGGCGGCTGTCGCTGACAAATAAGGAGGAAAAGAGGGGTAAAAAACCTTGGCAACAAGTAGCACTTCTAAACGGTGTGAAGCAACTAACTAGGAGTAGGCTGGGCTAGGGGTCCAGGAACCAGATCACAAAGACGGCAGCACAGTGGTCTGGGGCAGTGCCCAATGAGGACAGGATGAGCACTCGAGGGGGAGGAGGGCACGAGCAGCCTTCCTGGCATCAGCAACTTTCCTGGATTTTTAAGTGGAAGGCTCCTGTGCCAATCACTTCCTTCGCCTGCTGGCACCACCCACCTCTGGTCCCGAAAGTGCAGCTCAAGGTCGACAAAGCCCTCTCCGTTGAAGTTCCTTACAGGCATCTCCCCGGCTGAGACCTGGCCCTCTCATCCCCAGCACGTGGCCAACAGCACCGATATCTCTGCCAGCTCCTGTGACCGAGCACTGGCTCAGATGCTACTGGCAGTTTTTCAGCAAATCAGAGCAAAATCCTAAAACCAACGTCTTGTAAGGGAGAGTTTTGCCAAGAACTTTTCAATCTCCAAAATCATGTCGTCTTTTATAATACAGTCCCTCCTGGCACAGAAGAGACTCCAAACCTGGCTATATTTATACCAGCTTTTGAGTCACTTTGCTGAGTAAGAACTGCCTTATTAGCATTGCACATCGTACACACGTGTCCCAGTAG